CACTGAGCCATCATTCTCAGTGTTATTATATAAAGAGTCCTGTCCAGTGATCTTCCCAGGGTCAGAGAGATAGACAGATTGAGAATGCCCCAGAGACAGATGTGAAAGCAGCACGCAACCTGCCACCATGAGAGGAAAGCTTGCTAGAAGCTCTTTCACCCTCTGCATTCAGTTGTTGTTATTTGATCTCACTGAATCCAGAGTCAACTTGCCCAGGAGCAGTCCTCCTCAGGCAAGATAATATACAGATGACAATGGATAGATAGAGGTATATGTAGATATAGATATAGATGCATTTATAAAGAGATTTATTACAAGGAATGTATTACACAATTTTGGGGGTTGGCTCAGCAAGTTCAAAGGTTTTAGGTTAGGGAGTCAGGAAGGAAAATCACAAACAGGCCACAATGGGCACAGGTTGAATTTTTGTCCACATGCTTCAGTCAAGTAGGAAGATGGGAACAGGGAGAGCAATTGCAGAGACAGAAGCTGTTTGGCATCTTTGCATCCAGAGAAGGTCCAAGCTCTCTTTTAAAAGTAATTAGTAGAGCTAACAAAAAGAATCTCTTTTGTGATTAAAGTCAATGGATGCAGGATTGCATTTACATTTTCAAAATATCCGCAGAGCAGCACCTGGATGAGAGGTTGATTTTATAACTGGGAAAAGGTCTGTGTATTCTATGCTGAGATGGTCCTCCAGCTCTGCTGTAGCCTCACAAGAAACAGTAGAAAGGGAATTCAGGCTAATCAAGTTAAAGCGTCAAAACTCCATCACATGGTCTGGTGATTACACTAGAGACATCTGCTTGATTCTTTGTTTTTAGCACACCACCTAGCCTGCTCTCAGCTGTGTCCATTGTTGAGCTCCCCAGCTTCTAAGTCAGTTTCTTCACAGTAAATCTCTTACTTCTGTCAGAGGAGAGACTGGAACACCCCATTACTCCTCATACAGATTTTCAACCTTTCCTCTTGTTTTTAGCCTATTTATCCATCTCACCTTTTAAGATTTAAGAGACCAGTTCTTGAGACTTTCTAGCTTTCTACAGTTCAAAGGATTTGCTTTTGTTGGGAAACCACTTGGTTTTCATGTTTCACCAATCTTATGGAGTAGTTTCTACTCATTCATTCACTTGCCATCTTAATTGTCTACAGAAGTAGTTTTCAGGCACTCTCATCACAAAAAGAAAAAGGTAGCTATGTGAGGAAATGCATAGAATAACTTGACTGTAATAATCATTTAACTATGTATATGTATTTTTCAAACATCCTATAATATACCTTAAATATATGTAATTATGTTTAAATTTTTTTTAATTAAAAACAAAAAACCTTCTTGACGTCATTGATCTCTTCCATTCCTTGGTTCTTACTTTTTAGAAACTTCCTTTCTGGACTTTCAGTTGGGTTTTGGAGATGAATGCATGCATTCAATCTACAAAGGCCAATTAGGTTTCTTGTTTCCATTTTACAAATAAAGGAATAGAATTCTGACAAATTGACATAAAGTCACACAACCAATACATGGGTTGGGTCTCAAACTAAGATTCCCATGAATCACCTAATTTTCATGACATAGGGGCATAATTGAATGAACTAAGCAGTGTTTTAAGCAAGTTGAAAATAGTCTCACTCTTATTACAGCTTCTTATTAAAGTTGAAGTGACATTTTCTGGTTACATCATGTACTTGCCATCCATAAGCAGTGGACTTTCAATAGATAATTGGAATGATTTTGATAACTCAGTTGTAGATCCAACTATGAAATGCCACCTTGCAAGGTTGCCCTATGTGACAGAACACAGGATCCAAATAAATAACCAGTATGTAGCAGTGTTCCTCCTGTAGTCAAAATAAAAGAACATGGGGACAAATGTGCTGCCATGCACAATTATGACACATGACTCACACTCAAAATATTGGCTCTTCTGATAGAAGACTAGCTCTGCATATCTACAAATTTTAAAATAAGAGTAATATGTTTCCAACCTGGTATCAAATAATAATTCCTCTAAGTTGAAAGCTGATAGTGCCACAGGACCATTTTGTACTCCTTGGAGTTCTAGTACAACAGGTGAAGAATGGGATCATGTTACCGACCAGAGTCCAGGAGATAATGTAAGCGAAGGAGTACAAGTTAAATGACTTAGGAATTTGTCTCACATTAAGGCTACAAAATCCTTTGTGAAAAGCCTCAGATTAGCCTTAAAACCACATCATCTTCCACAAAACCTGTGGAAGATTGGATTATGGGTCTCAGTAGTTTGATAAGCAATGAAAATATATTCATATCTTTGCCATGTAACTTTTAGTGCCATCCCACTTTGTGTGGGATCTACTTTCCCATCTGAATGGTCAACTTTTTGAGTCATTTTGGCCAGTGGGATATTAGCAGACACAATGGCAGCATCGGCCATGAACATGCTCATGTCAACATCTTGGCTTCCTATGTTCAATAATCACCCTGAGGTCTGGGTCCCAGAATGATATCTGTAAGGGGAATATACGTGAATCCTCTGGTCGTCTGGAGTCCAGACTGGCCCAGTAGAGTTAAACTGACCAACAGATCTGTGAGAGGGAAATAAAAGTTTGCTGTTTTAAGCCACTGAGCCTGGGGTGTTTTCTTCAGAGCACTAAGATCTGGAAAAGGTAGCTCAGCTCTGTTAAGCTGATACAACTCTAGTTCTTGGAGTTTCACAAGATTCCTCTTATCATCGGTCTTGCCAATGGGTTTCAGCCCCAGGCAAGTTCACTGTGGATTCATTCAACGTCACTAAAGAAATTGACAACAAAACGTTCTTGGGATGAAAGGGTTATACCCAACTTTATTTCCAGGCGGCAGGTCAGTCACTGGAATCGCATTCACTCAGAGCGAGTCTGCATGTAGCAAGCCAGTCTCCGCCTCTGGGCCCTTCTGCCCACACAGCTGTCCTCTGGGCCTCTCGCCTGCACAGCCGTCCTCTGGGCCTCTGTCCTCGGTGCTGCCACCACTCCAGCCTCTGCTCTGCTCTCCTGCAGCCTTGTAGCCCTGCCACCGTGTTTCACCCAGAGCACTGGGTGGAGCTCTTTATATAGAGTCAACAGCCATGTCTTGCCCACAGGTGTGCAGTGAGCTAGTCAACCACAGCCAGGTGGGAATCCTGGCAACAGGAACTCTCATTTTATCCACATCATCCCTTGTCATAAACCTCTCCATCTGAGCAGACTTTACTGAATATTTGCAATAAAATCACCTTATATTAAAAAGGATGAGATAGTATGTCTTCCTTACAAAGTTTACTGATCTAAGAGAATCAAATCATGATAATGATTGCGATAACCAAATAGATAACTAAATATATACAATAAAAGAATGATAAATATTAATTTCCATAATACTAATCAGCCATATCTTGGTAGCAAAATAAGTTTAAAATTCAGAACATTTTTACTTCTTTATGAAGTATGGTAGACTTGTCATAAAACATTTAAAAATATACATTACAAAATCTGTGAGATATCCTCTTTTTATTTTTGTGCCTGCATCCACTTTCTGCTCCTTTCCCAAATATATGTTGTTTGACCGATATTATTTTTGTCAATTATGCTTGTAACAGAAATCTCTAGTTTTTGCCTTCAAAATACAGTTTTCACACAGAGACATGCTAGAGGCAGGTGTAAAGATGATTGGAAGTAAATAAATGATACAGATTTTTTAAAATATTGAATTGAGTATTCTAATTGATGTGTATAAATCTCAAAAGAAAATGTTTCACAATTATACAGCAAAGAAGAACATAGTGAATCTCTTCAACAAAATAATGAGCCTTCAAATGTTTCAAAAGTCTTGATTTTAACAATGTAAGTACAAAAGGAAGAAGTTGATAAGCTAGAATTTTTAGAGATGTTTTGAAATCTGGAATCAGTATTTGCAAGCTGGACGAGTAAGTGATGAACAGCTCGTTGTATTTTAAAATATTGCTTGTTTGAGATATAATATTGTATTTATAAACATATTTCTCATATATTTATATATATTTTCAAAGCTAGGAAGATCTGGAATAAAATTTGGGGCTTGCTATGTTTGAATTCTTTCTAAAATTTCTAATAAACTTGTTTTTCCCTATCCTTTCTTTCTTAATTCTAGAAAGTATTTGTAAAATGAGTTAAAATATAAAAATAAATTAAAATGGTCAGTGCAACCTACATGGTAAATGATGATGACTATTTTTTTCTTTTTTGTGCTTTTTACTGCCCTGGATGGTCTTCAGCACATTGTTCAATAGAAATGGAGATAGAAACAAAACACTAACTCAAAAAGATATGTTCATTGCAGCATTGCTTACAATAACAAAGATGTGGAAACGACCTAACTGTCCATAGATAGATGAATGGATAAAGAAAATGTGGTATGTGTGTGTAATGTAGACACACATACAAATGCAAAGATATACATATATACATATATGCATACACATTTATACACATGCATATATACATGTATACATACATATATATGCACACACATATACATATATAAGCATACACATGTTTATATACTACTATTCTTCCATTAAAAAAATAAAATATCGTTATTTGCAACAACACAGATGGACCTTGATGACAAAATGCTAATTTAAATAAATCAGACTAAGAAACACAAATACTGTATAATCTCATTTATATGTGAAATCTAAAACAGAAAAAAAAACATAAAAAATGATTTCATAGGCAGAGAACAGATCAAGAGCTACCTGTAGCAGAGGGTGGGGAGGAGGCAAAATGGGTAAAGGGGGGTCAAAAGGTACAAACTTCCAATTGTAAAATAAGTAAGTCATGGGGATGTAATGTATAACAAGGTGACCATAGTTAATAATATGGTATTATTATTTGTATTGTACATTTGAAAGTTGCTAAGAGAGTACATCTTAAAAGTTTTGTCATAGAAAAAATATTTTGTAGCTATCTGTGGTGATGGATGTTAACTAGAATTATTTTGATCATTTTGCAATATACAAATACCAAATCATGTTATACACTTGAAACTAATATAATGTTACATGTCAATTATGCCTCATTTAAAAAATAAGAAAGGAAACAACATTTTCAAGGGCCAGTTAAGGGCTGAAACTGTCAAATGTTCATGAAAGTCTTATTTGTATTAAGAAGAAAATATTTAAATATAAACATTTAGAACAAACCAAATATTAGTCAAATAGGACAAATTCTCATTTAAAAAAAGATAATGGAGATAGGAAAATAATCAAAAGAGGAAAATTAAACATAGCAGAGAGGATAAACAAGCAAAAAATTATTGATTTGAGGAAAGAAAAAAATAAAATTCACAATTCCAGTGGGCATGTTTAAGATTGTTCATGGTATTAGTATTATAATAGCAAAAAATAACTATTAACATATAACCATTAAAATAATAATAACCACTAAAAGAAAATAGATTGATGCACTGTAATATTGCATACAATGGATACTTACCGGAATGGTGGAAGAAACTGATTTACAACTATCTGCCTCAACAGGGATTGATTTTATAAATATATTGTCACTATTGATTTACTCTAATCAGGATTTACCACTGAGTTGAGATTAGGAAAGATGGGTAGATATCTAAACAAAAGCAAATCTCAGTTGTCAAGAGGGATGGATTCCTTGAGATTGCTACTGAATAAGCAATCTACAATGTCTACCAAAAATGGCCACTTGAGAAAATGAAATCACTCCAAGAATCACTAAACATTAAATATACTAAGTTTTACTTGCATAGCTGGGTGATTTACAGATTTAGACGCTACAACAGAATAACCATGGTCCCTTGGATTTCTTTATTCTCCATGTATTTACAGAATCATCTCTATGGATATACGTGGAAAAGAACAGTCATTAAATGCCCAAATTTTCTTCTTTCAGATTTTGTTCTGTCATCGCTATAAAGTATTAAATAAGGTTGTATATTACAGTGGAGAATACTGTTTCTACCAAATGTCAACTATATGATCATGAAAATCATTTTAACTCCTAGATGTACCAACTTTTAAGCCAACTTTGGTGGTCAAGTGAAATCTTTGACAATAAAAATATTTTTTAACTGGTGGAGTGGAAACTGTATACCAATATGTCTGATTGCACTGTCTAACCTTTCACATGGGAATAAAAGCCTTCTGTAATCTTATTTTTATGGAAAAACTCTAAATAATCATTAAGCCAATCTATCTTTGCCTAAAACTTTACACTTCACAAATAATTAAAATAGACGCTATTTTCCTCAGGTTTTATTATTTTCATCCCACAGAAGTGGAATCAGAGGCTTGGGGTCATTAATGATTTAATTAAGGATCCACGGTCACATGAAGTGAAGGGGAGATTAGGAATGAAGTAATTCTGACACTAACATCAGTTTTCTTCTCAAAACACCCTGCTAGGCAGTGATCGATGAGAGAGAAACAAATGAAGTGAGCACTACGAGACCTTCCAGGCTGCAATGCAGAGAACAGGAACCTAGTTAGATCCTACTGGGCAGCCTGGGATGGGCAGACAGCACTAGAAATCTAGGGAGACCAAGACAGCTAGACTTCACAGGACACAGTGCCAGAAGAGAGAGCTCAGAGCAGAGCAAGGGTCCCAGAGATTAGCAAAGGGTCACCCTTGAGTCTTCAGCTAAGTACATCTGAGCACAGGTGTGTGGGAAAAAACAAAGATCAGGAAAAGAACAGCCTGAAATCAGCAAAAAGGAACAAGGCCCTGTAGTTTACATAATTTTTACTCATTGTAGTATTGAAAACCTCATAATTCAAAGGCAATGAGCAGGCAACTCAGAAGGGTACTGCCTCAGTAGTGGGGTAACTTAGCCCTAAAATAATGGTACTCCAGGCCCACCTAATAAATCTTTAAAAAGTCATAAAACTTTTTCCAAGTGATAAGGGTAACCAACCATCCCAATTTGCCTTGGATCGGAAAGCTGTTGGAATATAGAATGTTTAATTTTACAACTGGGACAGCCCTAGGTAAATTGAGTAAGTTGTTTACCCTATAAATCTCAAAGTTATTTATAGGAATACAAAAATATCTTAATTGAATAAAGAAAATATCACAGACTCTGGCATTCAATAAAACATTAGCAAGAATACAAAGAAGCAGGAAAAATACACCCAAATAAGCAGAAAAATAAATGAATAGAAATAGACCCAGAAATGACAGAGATTATAAATCAGAAGTCAAGGACACATTAAAATTTAAAAGAAAAGATTGGTTATTATACTAAAAAGAGACATAGAAATATAAACAGGAAAAATGAAGATTTTGCACTTCTAGCAATGAAAAGTACACTGTGAAGATGATAAATACAATGGATTGGATTAGTAGTTTAGATACTGAAAGAGAAAAGATCAGTGAACTTGAAATCATAAAATAATCCAAGATAAAACACAAAAATAAAAGGACTGAATGTAGTAAACAGAACTTCAGTGAGGTATAGAACAACTTTAAAAAATTTAGATTTAGTATACATGTAGTTGCAATCCAGGAGAGGATGGAAGAAAGGTAAGACAGGAAAAATTATTTGAAAAAATAATGGCTGAAGTTTTTCAAAATTTGGTAAAACCTATAAACCCATGGATCCAAGTTCAAAAAATTCCAGGCACAGACATATAACAAAAACTATAACAAAATATATTACAATCAAATTTCTTTTAGGAAGTAACAAAGGGAAAATCTTCAAAGCAGCCAGATGATAAAAGACACACAAGAGAAACAAAGATATAAGTGGCACAGATTTGTCAGAAACAATTCAAGCCAGAACATAGAACATAGTGAAGATATATTTTTAAGTATTGAAAGGGGGGAAAAAAGTCAACCTAGAGTCATATACCCAGGAAAAAGTCGTCTCCATAAAGGAAGGCAAAATAAAAGATTTTTTCAGACATGCAAAAGCTGAGAAACTCAGCCACAGTAGATTTGTGCTATGTTAAATGTTAAAAGAAGTTGTTCAAACAGGAAGAAAATGATACAGAGAGAAATATGGACTTACACATGCTAGTGAAAAGTACCAAAAATAGAAACTACTCAAGGACATAGAAAATGCTTGTTTTCTCTTTTATATAAATAAGAAGCTTGATTGTATTATCTAATCTTAATAACTGCTTATAAAATAATGCTGGGGTGGGGGTGAGTTGTAACATATGTAGATGTCAAATATACAACAATAACAGAAAGGAAAGAGGGAAATGGGAGTATAACATAGTAAGGTTCTTGGGATGTGTATTAACATATGATATTATTTGGAGGTAGACTATGATAAGTCTAAAAAACTTGCTATAAACCCTAAAGCAGCCATAAACAAAGAGTGTTAGCTAATAAAGTGATGATGAGATAAAAGGAAATCATTAAAATATTTAAGCCCAAAGAATGCAGACAAAACAGACAAAAGAGAGTAAACATGCAACATGTAAAAATAAAATATGGAAATATAGTTTATGTAAATCTAATCATATCATAATTGTTCAATGTAAATAATCTAAAAGCTGATGCAAACCTAGAAATTATCATTTTGGATAAAATAGAAAGGGCCAACAGGAAATGAACTTAAACTAAGAAGACACAAATGAACTAAAAGAAAAAGAATGAGAAAAGATCTACTCTGTGAAACAACCATCAAAAGAAATCTGGAGTGGCTATTTTCGTATAGATAAGACAGATTTCTTAGAAAAAATATTGCTACAAGTAGAGAGAGACAATTTCTGATGATAAATGGGTTGATGCATCATAAGTACATAACAATCTTAATGTTGATGATGTAGCCAATGTCAGAATTTCAAAATACAAAAATTAAAAACTGATACAATTGAAGAAGAAATATTCAAAGCCCCAATTATAGTTGGAGATGTATTCAAACTTCATTAATAAGTGATGAAACAATTAGACAGAAAATCAATAAGGATATAGAAGAGGAATGACACTCAATTGACAACAGTGTCTAATTTACACTTTTAAAAACTCTATCCAATAACAGTAGAATAGACATTCATTGTAAGTACACATAGAATATTTACCAAGATCGACTATATTCTGGGTCATAAAACAAGCATGGATAAAATTTTAATTATCAAATCATACAAAGTATATTCTCTGACCACAAAGGAAATAGAAATCACTAACAAAAAGATATTTGGATGATCCCCAAAGATTTGTAAACATAACAGCATACATAAAAATAATCCATTAAAAGGAAAAGTAAGAAGTATTCTGAACTGGATTGAAACAAAAACACAACATATAAAAATCTGTTGGATTCTTCTAAAGCAGAAATTACAGGAAAATTTATAGCAATTAACACCTTACATAGAAAAAGATAGGTATCAGATTATTGACCTCAGCGTCCACCTTATGAAAAAGTAGGAAAATAAGACCAAATGAAAACAAAAGTAGGAAGAAGAAGGAAAACAATAAAGATCAAAGTGGAGATCAATGAAATAGAAACAAATAATAGAAAAAAATCAATGAAACCAAACCTGGTTCTTTGAAGACATCTGTAAAATTGACAAACTCCTAGCTAGCTTTATCAATAAAGGAAAAGAGAGAAGACATAAATTTTCAATATGAGGAATGTGAGAGGTGGCATAACTTCAGATTTCTCAGATATTACAGAGTATGAAAATATTATGAGCAACGTATGCCCAAAAATTCAGCAATTTAAATGGAATTTGTCAATTCCTTGAATCACACAAATTACCGAAGTTCATTTAAGAAGAAATAAGTAACCCAAATTGCTCTATACTTGTTGAAAAAATGTAGTTTATGGATAAGACTTTTCTGACAAGAAAACTGCAGGCTTAGATGCATATTTCATAGGTGAATATTACCAAACATTTAAGGAAGAGAAACAGCAATTATTCACAAACTCTTCCAGAAAAATTAAGAGGAGATAATACTTTCCAATGTGTTTTATGAGGCCATCATTACCTACAAATCAAATTCTGACTAATTGAGTAAAGACACAAAAATTCTAGATAATATTTTAGCATATTGAACACAATAATGTATATACATGATAGTATATTATGACCAAGTGAGATTTATAATAAGACAACAAGGTTGTAAGTTTTTGCAATCAAAGAGCAATCAATGTAATCCACTATATTAACAAACCAAAATTAATAAACTAAATGATCATTTCATTGCATATAAATATAAGCATTTAGCAAAATGCATTTCTGATCAAAAAATTTCATCAAATAAGGAATAAAAGGAAACTTCCTTAACCTGGTAATGCGCATGCACAAAAACTTGCAGCTAATATCACATTTAATAGAGTATTTTTCCTCTAAGAGTAGGAGTAAGATAAAAATGTCTACTTTCACAATCTTTATTCAACATATATGGGTGATCCAGCCTATTGAATAAGGCAAGAAAAATAAATAAAAGTCATCCAAGTTAGGAAGGAAAAAATAAAACTGAATTTATTCACAGATAACATAGTTGTCTATACAGAAATCTTATATAATATAGAAAAAGACACAAGATTTAATAACTGAGTTTATAAAGATTGAAGGATATAGGATGAATACACAAAATTCACATCTGGAAATATATTAGCAATAAGTAAACAGAAACTAAAATTTAATACACTACCATAACAATTACACTTGAAAGACTTTACAATGGAAACAATATTTCCATGGATATAGATATATCAAAACTGATCAAATTGTTACACTTAATATATTCATCTTATTGACCATCATATACACTTCAAAATATTGTTTAAAAGAGTTATGGTAAAACCATCTTTTGTATATTTTTTCATCATATCATTTAAGCTTCAGATGTTACAAACATATAATGTGTTTCCATATTAAATTCTTCCCAATTATTGCTCTATGAAAATTCAAGAGGCATAAGATTTCAAACAATAAGGGTACATTATTTCTAGAGACAGTTGATCTTATTGTTCAACAAAATCAGCATTCCAGCAGTTGAGGCTTGTCATTTGTACCAAGGCTTCTTGCTTTGTGGTTAAAGGGCAGCTAGAGAAGTTCCAAGCACCATATCCAAGCACCATTTTCTTTCAGAGGAAGAGAACAGCTCTAATCATCACTTTCGCACAAAACAAAGACCAGAAAAAGAATGCCTTCTTGTGAATCATAGACTGAACAAGTTGTGACTTAGAAAAGAGACTTTCTTGACCAAAATTGCTTCATATACCCATTCCTAGAGCATCAACACTGCCTGGGGAATAGTTTCCCAACAATGGCTTACATTAAGCAAGAGATGAACTCCCTTCCCTACAAAGACTGGGACAGGACCTGACTATCCTCTAAACAGATAAATTCAAGGAAGATGAGACCAACCGTGTAGCAACAGTTGCTACACTAATGTTGGGCAAAAGAAAGCTAGCTTATTATCAATTACAACACAAAATAGAGGTAAAAAATAACGCTTTAGTGTCCAGGATCTCAGGAAATGAAAGGATTCTTTACATAGTCCACCCCAGGAATAGCAAAACCTAGTATGCGTGCCACTGTCCCCGCTGACACCTAAACAGTCATGCACACAAACATGCACATCCAGAGCAGATATCAATAATCTATTACATCTTTGTTGCTGAGCCCAGACATAACCCTAAAATGCCATTCAACTCTGAGCTCTAAGCAACCCCTACCAATCCATCAGTGGTCACATGAGAGATGAAATATCTGTGCATCCCTCCTTCCTGCAAGAAAGAACACATCTGAAATGTTGAAGACCAATGATACTGCCCCCAGATTTAAACCTCCAGTGAAAATATTCTCCAAGCTTGGCATTGCTATATGGTTCTTATTCTTACCTATAGACAAGGGGATACCCCCCACTGTCCATGGCTAATTGCTCTGTTGTGTTCCTAAGGCTGTGGCTTTGAGTAATGTTTCTATCATAAGACACCAAAGTACTCAACTAAAAAAATGTTTCTATGAATTTAGGAAAAAATGCCTTATGAGAGTGATTAAAAGGACTACCTAAAATAAAAGCCTGGACTAACTCCAAAACCAATATCTGGTTTCCTCTTCTCTCTCCCTAAAATGTAATTTATCTCCAAAATGCGAAAAGGGATGTTCCTCCATAACATAGTTATAGCTCATCTACCTTAGGAAAGACTCCGTGATTATCTGAAGAAAAAACAGATCTTCCGCTACCATGCAGTCTTTTTTCTTTCTTACATTCCCCCCCACCCCTTCCTTCATTACTGAGAAATCCAAGAACCTTCCCAATAGAGATTTGTGGAATTTTTTGACAGTAAAACTTAATCATCAACTACCCTTTTCACAAGGCTCTTATTCTATGTCCTTCTAACCTATCTGAGCGGGTCACTTCTGGAAAACCTGGGTAGCAGCAGCCATGGCATGCACTGCAGCCAGTCAGAACCCAGAGAACTGGCACCTGTGATGGCTTTGCTAACCCAGAAAGTTACAAGAAACTCTCTGGAGCCGTCTATTTCTCAGTGGCCCTAATTGCATCCTCTCATATTGCCACAAGCCATAATTAAAAGAAAAAGCAGGCATTTGGTCACAAACTACAAGTATTTGCCACATGGCTTGTGAAGAAGCTGATTAGAGAGAGTGATAAGATCTGCTTAATGTTTTTATACAGTGCTCGGAACAAGCACTCTTTAAATTATTATTATTTTTTTAGTCTGGAAACTAAGGATGAATAGTAATCTCCCAATTGCCCTTCACCATCATGATTCAGTCTGAAGAGCTAACAAGCCACCTTCAAGCGCGGCCCCTTCTCTGAACAGACATCTTTTCCACATGGATGAACACAAAGAAATAATCAGATAGGAGATTTTTCTTCTAAATTAGGCCTCTTGTTTGTAAACGGAAGGAGTGCTAATACAGTCCAAACTCAGCTCTGCACCACACATGGCCATTCTGCCCTGGCTTATTAGAAAGAGCGGGAGAATGGACGTTTTGTTCTATTCTTCAGGTTTCCTCTGTGTGAGAGGCCATTCAAGCGATCGGGCACTTCTCCCACACTCTCTCCTTCCCTTCTGCCCCCCTCCCTTTCTCTCTCACACACTCTCCGTTTCTCTGCAGCGCCAGTGTCAGAGGCGAGCTGCTGGCGGGGAGCAGGCTTTGATGTCGACCTCTGGCTGCCACAGGCAGCCCTGCATTAGTGGGTGAGTAGCCCAGCGGTGAGGGCATGTGTGGGAGAGAGAAGGATGAAAGGAGGGGAGATGGGCTGGCCATGTGCACGGATTCCTGCCTGTTCACTTACATTCTCCAGAAAGAAAATGCCAAGCCTTGTGATTACACAGGTTATGAACCAGCTAAACTTCAGAAATGACCATTAAAAGTCCTGCCTGACATAAAGAATCAAATTACTGTTCAGGCTTTTTGGCCTCCAAACAAAATAAATAAATAAGAATAGAAAGAAAAAAGGAAAGAAACAAGCCACAGACTGTGCTAAAGAGATAAAGGCATTCAGATTACATTCTAACGGGGCTGGTTAGTCAAGGATGCAGGTGACCCAGCACACAGACAGGGTCCTAGCGGCTGCCTTTCGCACACTTTCTGCCTTTCGGATTGGGCTGTATTGTTTTGATGGCTTGTGCCAGATGTCAGGAATAAATCTCTGGCTCTAGAGGTAAGGTAACAGAGGTGACACCGGCAGGCAACACATGAGAACATCACGTTAGTCGTCTATTCACCAGCATGGAAAGGGACATCTCGTAAGGGTGAGCCCACCAGAGAGCTTGTGCCCTGTATGAATTCTTGGCATTCAAGGGCTACCTTCAGTTAGATAATGGAGTTTCTGGGCCTCTGTTTGGATTAAAAGGCTCTTCTTTGCCAGGTTGTAAGAAAAGATCAGACCTTGTTCTCCTGCAATTGACATTTATTTCTTCCTACCTCAACCACCTGTTTTGTTGATCCCTCCACGTAAAGGAAAGAGGGCCTGTCCTCACCACAGATTTCCTAACCCAGAGTGGGCACCCTGGACTGAGGCAGAGAAATTCGACACTAGATTCCTTTCTCTTTTTACTTTCCTCACTTTATTGACTCCCAGAGTATGTTATTTCAAAAATGGGGTATCACCAAGCAAGAATTTATTGAGGCCCTGCTATGTATAAGATCTGCAGTGAAGAAATCTACAATTCAGAAGTTAAAAAGAAAATCATTTCACCCTATATTCAGTCTGGAACTGTCCTTCAGTACTACAATGAGTCTCCTATGATTAAACTAAGATCTTTCTGAAAAAAATTCTTTGATTTTTTTTTAGGAGAATAAAAAACGTAAGTTCTATATGTTTCCCACCACCTCTATTCCTTGACTTTTGGTTTGCGACTTACCTGAGATGAGTTGGTTGGTGTGTGTTTGCCTACTAGTCAGAGGATTCATAGGAGCTCTTTGCCAATAGTCAAGTCTGGATGTCATCAGGAGTTAAATAAACTGCCTCCTGCCAGTCCAAATGTCACGTAGATAAGATCCGCTCTCCTTCGAGATGGATTGAAATACATCTTCTTCTAAGATGCCTTCAAAGCTAAGCCTGCTTCTCCCTTCCCCTCCATTTGCAGCCTGTGGAGAAAATCCTTGGAATCCACTTGGCTATATCCTGGGTCCTTAAGGAAAGACAAGAAAATGGTGCTTATAGGGAGGCCTCAGTTCAAAGCAAAACCTTATAAATGTAACAAGATATCTCATGATCAAATTCACCACAACCCAAGAGCTGCTGGACTATGAATTGGGTTCATGGTTGTAAAAATTGCTTACTGTCCATTACTTTCAATCAACAAAACACAAATAGATCTGGATTAAATGGAACCACTTGCTTTAAAAGATAAATATATCCCTGGAAATAAGAGTATGTGTTTGAGTTACCTATTATATATTTTGCATCTGAGTGCTTTTGTTTCTTAAGCCATACGCTGACGGTATTGTGAAAAATCACCAAAACAGTACAATAAAATAATGCAGGAAAATGGTATGGATAACTGAGTAGCCCTCTATCGCAGCTCCAGCAGATACTATTCCCCTCTGGCCCTTACACAGCACGTCGTTCTTGATGACTTCTTCAGTCCTCACTCTGCCCCTCAATTATGAAATCAGCAGAACTCTCAGGGGAGGAAGACCCAGAAAGAACAAATGTGGCAGCAAGAGACAGAGGAATCGATACCTTCAGAGTCTGAGAATGTAATGGGCCCTGCAGGTCTGTTAATTATCAAACAAAAAAATCTGTTTCAAGAAGGGAAAAATGCATTTCAATAGCAGCTCTATAATTAGCCATTTCTGCTCATGGTTCTTAGTAGTTCTTATGTTTGCCTGCCTTCACCTTTATTTCCTTTAACAATATTCACATAAAACGGCTCAGAATTGCTCTGCTTCTAATTATTTACTGTAACAACCAACAAGCTGAGAGGAAGATGACAAAGTCATAAAGAAAGATCTTTGTACATCGTGTATTGACTTGTCACAGCTTCCTTCTTACTCCCTGATACTTTTCATTCTTTTCCAGTGTATAATTTGTAAGTATGCATAAAACATCACCTGAGTTTTATTTTACAATGATGTTAGACTTCAGGTCTGTGAGTTTGCTTTAAATGTACACACAGTTTTCTAAGCCTTTGGTAAAAAGCAGTTCCATTCTATCCCAAAACTCATCATTTACCGAGATGGAGCTGGTGTGACATGTGTGTCGAGGGGCAGGGGGTGGAGTATTTGGAAATGTAAATGTAAAACCAAGAGAAGATAGGAGTTTGGATGCCAAGACTGAACAGTATGGCAGGGAATAATTCAGGAGAAATTATCACTGTCTGATTCTGGGAAATCAAATGAGAGATGAAGTCCTGAGTTGGGCTAAAACAAGAGTGTTGACTCAGGGTCAAAGCCACTACTACCTGATGAAGTCCGGAGATTCACAGAGATGGGGGTAGTCACCCAGGTATCTTGTCCTCAAAACTGAAATTATTTGCACCCTTCTTTCTAAAAGACCATCTTCAAAATGTGAAACTCGTGTTTTACCCCAGAAACTATGGAACCTTATACCGTGAATAGCAACTGCAATCTATTTGACCAACACCTGATACGTGCAAGAAGAATGAGTTCAAGGATAAAGATGTGGGTCGGGAAGGAAGCAGGTTCAACCATGACTCACTGTTCTACCATGAGTAACATTTAGTGACCATTCTCAACAAGCTGTCATTACTAAATGATGGGAATATAATGAGTGAGACAGTAATGTGGAACTTGAAGAAATGCAAAGGGACTAAATATAAACATCTGAGGGGTGACCATTGTACCACCCCTAAAGTAATCTATCCAAGTAGCTTTCAGGATGAAGAAGAGGTCACAGAATTTCAGGGCATCACCAGAGCAGCTAAACAACATGTTAACCATCTCGCCAGCGGTTTTCCTAACAACCAGTTGTAGGTATGAACCGAGGCCCTTCCTGTATTATCCCAATATAAGTTTCCTTCAGAGATGAGTCAACTCCCACTTGGATTGCACACATGAGATATTACAGGAAGGGTCCCCTTTCTTCAGGAGTCCGGTGCTTCCTTGGAGATCAAGCATGGGGTAGCTTCCCTTCAACATGAAGCAAAGTCAAAAGTCACCTGTGTTATGCTAGAAATCTCCAGCAAGATTCAGAACCAAATAAATTTGCTCTGTTCTTTGCGTAGTAATGGCTCTTGGTAATAGGCTCTTGCTGTGGTTTATTGGTCCATCACATAGTTTATTAGAGTGCAGCCTGTGTCAGGACTTCCATTATAAAACCATATTTTCTGGGTTGAGATATCAACAATAAAATTGGCCTAGTATTGAACCTTAATCTTGAGATTAAGACCCTGCTCAAGAACCAAAGAGGGAAAATTAAAGAGGAAAGGAGAGAGATAGAGACAGAAAGAAACAGCAATGGTTGTGGTATCATAACTTTGAAACTTATGCTTTTATCTCAGCAGCTTTTTGAATATAAGGTTCGCTTTGTTTCATTAAGCTTCCATCTATTATGGGATATATTTGATAGAAGAGAAGATACTTGAGAGAGGGCAGTTGAAGTCAAATCAGTTTTCCCTCTATGCAACTATCACACCCCTATGTCCACAAAATAACCACATCTCCACATTTTAATTTGTTGCTCAATTCACCTGAAGAATGGGAAGTTTCATACTGTGCAAAAACCATGAGACAAAAGGTAGCAGGTTCTTTAGTTGTTGAAGTTTTCACTGTTTTTCTTTGTTTGGGGTGATAATGACCCAGTGGCAGACTTCTGTGAAAATGAACTTTCTGTTTTTCTTCATTTCAATAAAATTTGAATAGTACCAATGTTTTGGTTTTACTCAGATCATACTGAAGGAAATTGTTTAAATTGGTTTAAAGTGCTTCCTAGGGCAATGACATCTAACAAAAAATCATTTGTAAGGCATCCATTTCAAAATGCACAGCCTTACTATAATGTCCACTATAGAGAAAGACCTTAGCTTGAATTATACCACAGCTATTTTAAATGGATTTTTAAATCATCTACCTTTGCATTTCATCATGAATGTTTCAGGGAAATTATCCTGAGATAATGCCAACAAATGGCTGCAGACTTTAGGTTTATAATTGCTCTTGTTCGTTTAAGGTTCCCAGCAGACCATATCAGGAAATTCAATGCCTGGCAAGTCGGGGTTGATAATATACCGTAACTGGCATTTTCTTATTAGACGATCACCCAAATCAGCTTTCATTTATAGCAATGACCCTAATTAAAAGAACCATGATTTATAGCAAAGTCTTTGCATTTTAAGAATCATTTCTGGATATGGTGGTATTAGCCAAAGGTTTGTTTTTTTTTTCCCCCATGGAAAATTGGCATAATTTAATCTTAATTTTTCTATATCACATAGTTTTTTATCCCCTTTGATTGTTCAAGATGAGAAGCTTCCTGCTAGCTGAGTATGTGTATGAATAGATAAAAATGTTCATATACACACATTCCCATGTAGTAAGTGTACCTATCTCTTTCTTCACTAAATGATTTGGTTTCAGAGCTGCAAGAGATCTTAGAGAAAAGATGGCCCAGTGCAACCTCCACCACTTCCACTATTTTAAGTGGAAGAACCAAGAGCTTAGAATTTGCCTTGGGCCATAAGCTGGTGAAAGGTGGGTCCTGAACTGCATGAGCCTCTTGATGAAAATTACACAGCAATAGAACACACAGTCCCACAAAAATACATGTTAAAGTTGTTACCTGCTCCATATGTTGATGTATCTGACTTTCTTTTTAACTCATCCAGTCAACAGAAATTATTACCTGCTGTGGATTACAAAAGTGTTCACACTGAAATTATAGTATAACATTGTTCTAAGAGACCACTACCATAAAATTATCTTGTACCATATTGTAAGGATCCTTGAGCACTGCATCTAAATGTATGTACAAAACTCAATAACTTACTGGGTGGGATCCTTGGAGATCAGTTTATCATTCATAAAGAACTCTTATCTATATTATTTCTTTAGCTAAATTTTACTTACCCCAACACTGTGACGATGTAGGGCAAAAATACTTAGATATTAGAGTATTACCACCCCATTTCATTGTCTAGAAAATAAGAACATCTCCTTAAGTGAAAAAGTCCAGGTTTTCAAACCATAAATCCAGGTATGCCCCACTATGTTAACTTATCTGGTCTTCCTGAGAGCAATAAGTATTATTTGTAATATATTATGAGTTGAAAATTTTAATTCGATTTGTCCATTTGGTTATAATTACAGTGGTGATAACAATAGCCATTATTATTAAGCACTTTGTTTCACATGCTGTTCTGAGCAGCATCTTACACATATATACAGATGCAAAAATCTATGTAGTTATCATTGCAGCAAATTCAGTGACGGGCAAATAGAGGCTTAGGAAAGTTAGGTGATTTATCTACACTCATGAAGCCTGTAAACAGCAAAACCAGGATTTGAACCAGGTTAGCTTGACCCCAAACCAAATGACCAAATGTTAACGATTTTCTGTACTTCTTTCATGATAAGATGATGCATATGTTCAACAGGATCTCAGTGTGTTGTCAATAGAAGTACAAACAGAAATCAATGCTAAGACCCTTTCAAGGTTCAGTTAGTATAGGAGAAAAACTTAACTGAGAAAAAGAAAAGTTTACATGAAGAAAGTCTCTGTGTGCATATGCATGTGTGTGTGAGAGAGCAGGGAATACATATATATATATAAATGATACATGTTTATATTTGCATTTATGGAAATGTATGTATAAGTACATGGAAATATGTATAAAATATGTAAAATATGTAAAAAAATAAAATAGAGAAATAACACAGTAATACTATTAAGATCTTCCACAAAACCCTACAGTTATTAAGTAGAATTTATTTTATAAGTTCAGTTCAAGAGACAGAATTCCTACCAGGGTTATAGGTAACTTTTTATCAGGATTTAATTGTTAGAGTTACTTCATTTCAAGGAAAATGATTTAGCCCCCAGGATATGCAGATCACTATTATAATAAGTCATGTTTATTTAACAAGGGGAGGGCCTTCAGCTATTCTTGCAAGAGCAAAAATTTCCAGGAATGATCCTTACTGCTATTATAAATTAATAAATTTTAGCAGT